CCCCCCCCCCCCCCCCCCCCGCACATACCTGCACACACACCATAATTTGGTTCCATAGTTGGACTTCCGTGAATGTTTTCCCTCCAATCTCACCTGGTACTATGTGACTGATTTACTTGTAATTGCCTTGGAGCTGATTATTTCCTTTGTGTGTGCTGCATGCTCCCATAAACTCGATTGTAGGCTTCTTTTAAACTCGATTGTAGGCTTCTTTTAAACTCACTTTCTCTAATTTAACTAAGCAGTATTAAATTAAAGCATCATTCAAGATGAACAGGATAATCTTTGGAATGAATGGATGGATGGCACCCTGCTTTAACACAATCGGGGTTGAAGGGAGATGCAAACAGTTGGTGAAATATTGTCCTTCATAATAATTTTTTAAAATTCATTAACGGGACGAGGGCATCGCTGACTAGACCAGCATTTATTGTCCATCCCTAATTGCCCAGAGGGCAGTTCAGAGTCAAACACATTGCTGAGAGTCTGGAGTCAGACTCCAGGTCAAGGATGGCAGTTTCCTTCCCTAAAGGACATTAGTGAACCGGATGGGCTTTTCCAACCATCAACAATGGAATCATGGTCAACATTAGATTCTTAATTCCAGATTCTTTTTAATTGAATTCAAATTCCACAGTAGGATTCCAACCTGGGTATCCAGAACATTACCTTGGTTTCTGGATTAATGGTCCAGATTAATTAATCCAGAGATAATACTACTAGGCCATCACCTCCAATATTAGCACCAAAGATATCAGAACATTCCTCTTCTGTCTTATTTCCATCAAGACATTAATTTTTAAAAAAGAACTTAACCCACAAATTAACAAACTGTTGCTATGCTGGATACACAAACCTTGGCTGAAATATTCAGGGGATCTCAATGGATTAGTTGTTAATTATTGAAAATGTGAAAGATACTTCTTCATTCCTTTAATTCTCTATCATTTGTTTAATAAATTTCGTCAGCTTACACCTTTTTGTTAAGTTCTTTCATTTATCTCTTTCTCCCCCCCTCCTTTCTTTCTCTGTTTTTTTCTTTCTAACCCACATAGATGCTTCTATCTACATCTAAACCTGTTCATAAATCATACGTGCCAAAGCTGGCCAAGGGAGATGTTAAGACTAAGTTCGAAGCCATGCAAAAAGCGCGGGAGGAAAGGAGCAAGAGGAGATCTGGAGAAGAAAGGAGAAGGAGAAATGAACAGTATAAGAAGGAGAAAGAATGGACAAAGATAAAACAGGAGGTTGCTTAGTTTATAAGTCACATCTGTTTTACCCCTCAGAATGACTGTACCTTGTTGCTCATTTATACTGACGAGGCTGACAACAGATCTGTGGAAATTGTTTAATTGATTCACAATTTAGCGTCAGAGGATGGTGAAGCTTTGGAATTGTCTATCCAAGGGCGCTCGGTTTAAAATATATTTTAGACAGAATTCGACATATTTTTATGTTCTTGGGGAATTAAGGAAATCAGGGACTGTGTAGGAAGATGGAGTGAGATAGAAGATCAGCCGTGACTTTATTGAATGATAGAGTGGACCTGGAAGGCCAGAGGCCCAATCCAGCTCCCATTTCTGACCTTTACTAAAATCGTGTTACCGTTAACATTAACCATGAGGTAAAAGTCACAAAGGAAACATTCAAATGTGTTCACCCTCAGGTTTGTTCTACCCAATTCTTCCCCAATTCTCTCTTCGGTCCAACATCAGCTTCGGTCCTCAAAATCACCTGACCCCTTACATTGGGTTATTGTTTTGTAATAGAGTTGATAGGTCCTTGGTGCTGCTGCTGGATGTAAGTGGATTTAATGTTGCAAAAAAAAAAGATGCTGAACCTCTTTTTCCCCTTGATTTATTTCAGCTAAGGGAACTACTTGCTTCAGATGATGAAGATGAGAACAAATCAAACGAACTGAAGAAGGCGTACGTCCCTAAAATGACAGGTAGCAGCAACTGAAATCGAATTCGCCCAAACTTTCAGTGTTCCCGTCAGGCGTCAGAACTTGGGGACAAAAAGAAATGAGCGTATGCCTTCCTGTATCCACAGGGACAGTCAAGGGCAAGTTTGAGGAAATGGAAAAGGTAAGGCAAGAGGAGGAGAAGAAAAGAATGGAGGAGGAGCGGCAGAGAAGGATTCATCAGGACATCCTGGAGAAGAGGAAGTTACAACGCGAACTTGCAAGAAAGGCCGCAGAGGTACTAAGGCATTTCCCAATTCATTTTAAAAAAAACTAACATTAAAGTTTGATTCGTAGGAACGCTCACCTGGAATCCACTTTGCACAATATTATTGGAATCCTCTTCCTATTTCCTTCATTAGAACAACACTTAAATGTTCAAATGATGTATTTATGTTTTGAAACACGTTGCTCAGTTTGAACAAGTGGGGGAACAAATTCAGTCTTCGAACATAGAAGCAGGAGTAGGCCATTCAGCCCTCGAGCTTGTCCTGCCATTCCGTAATGGATCTGCTTGCTCACACCAATGGGAAATGTAGGGTTACGGGTGTAGGGTGGGGCAGGTGGGTTTGTGTGGGATGCTCTTCAGAGGGTCAGTGTAGACTCAATGGGCTGAATGGCCTGCTTCCACACTGTAGGGATCCTATGATTATTGCTGGCTGCACACAATATGAAGCTGATATTGTTTTGGAATAAAAATAGTTCTACTTTGTTTAATATTTCATTTATCTGACCAGATATACAGTTTCGTTAAAATTGTACCATTAATTTGTAAACATTTCTTACTATATTTATGACAGATATTGCTGCAAATGCACATGCCTCTTGTTGTTAGCAAATGCAGCTTTCAATAGTGTCACAGCTGGCTTAATTTGTACCCTTAAATCTGCATTCCTGCCCACTCCTAATAACCTTTCACCTCCTTAATTAATAAGAATCTATCTATCTCTGCCTTAAATATATTCACGGACCCTGCTTCCAGCAGAAAGAGGATCTGTCCCATTTTTTTTCTATTTTCTTGGGGTCGACCTGTATGTATCTTATATTCCATTTACCCACCTTGATTCCATTCCCCATTAAAAGCCTTGCTAAGCTAAAGTCTGTCAGTCTCAGTTTTTTTGAACCCTCTTGTGAAGATCCAGCCTCAGTACAATAGCTTTCTAAGGGGCTGAATGGCCTACTCCTGCTCCTAGTTCTTACATCTTTTTTTGACTTCAGCTCCCGACCTGTAGCCCCACATATTTTCGACACCATTGTACTCTGTATCCTTTCAATAACATAGTCAGTAGAATGAGTTCTCTAGTGCAGTCCAGCCAAAGATCAATACGAAACAATTATGTAACCTCTTCTTTCCAAATCTATGAGGAAAAAAGTGACATCTCAATCGCATCTCATCCTAAGAAAGGATGCTGTGGCCAACAGTGCAGCACCTTCTCAGTTGTGCACTAATTTGCCAACTTAAATTTGCTTAGGTTTCTGGACTGGCCCTTAGAAGCCCTGGCCTCGTGATAGAGTTAAGTGTGTTACCCACCGACCATAGGGAAGAGGGCCAGCGAAGCTCAACAAAGAGGGGTTAGACAGAAAATGGTCAGCTGTATTTTTGAAAAAAGTACATGGAAAGCAGAAAAATGGAAGCTGACAAGAATACTGAAGTAGACAAAACTGGAGCTGACACTGAGGAGGAATTCGCTCCTTCGTTTTTAACCTCATCTCAGTCGGTTGCAACAATTGTCTTTCAATTTATTTTGATCGTGCAGCTGTCACACTTCAGTTAAAACGTTGCTCATGAGAAAATGAAGCACCCAATCATTCTGCCAATCTGATCCACTTGCTCCTCCTCCCTCTCTGGCATCAGTACAAAATACACAGTTTTCCACCACCTTTTAATTCTGAAGAAGTCATTATTCCACTCAAAGTCTTGACTCTGTTTTCTCTCTCTCTCTCTCTCTCTCTCTGTTGAGATTCTTGAGCATTTTTCTTCTTATTTGAGAATTACCTGGAATGAAAGGAGAATTTGACAATTTGAGTGAAACAAGAAAGAATTTCATTACCCACTAACTCTTCGAAAAATAATAAAAACTTGACATTGGAAACTCACACACATACAAACACAGGTAATAATTTTAAAAGGGAGGACACCTGATACGGACCGGGAGAAATATGGCTATATCATTTATAACTCCAGAGTATTTGAGGTGCTAGATTTTAAACATGAAGCCATAATTGATTAATTGTTGACTTGAATCTGTATTATGAGCAGATTGTGAAGATATCTTGAGATTTTAGTCAATGGTTGTTTACCAAGGTTGCTGTATTCACTGGGTGCTGTTTTTCAAAGGCGCAGGTAGAGGAGAGAGAGTTCCAGTCCTTGTCACAAATTAATTTTCCTTCTCTCTGCTGTGCAAAAGCAGCTGCTGAAAATTAGTGTGTATTCAAGGGTCTAGCTCCATTGCCTTTCCAAGATGGCTAATTAGCAGGTGAGCCCTTCAGCTCCCAATATATACAACAATCATCATACCTGTGAATTAAACAGGAGATGTGAATTTCTTGATGCTCAGTTTCCTGACTGAACTCAAGCTTAAACAAATTAGAAATGCAGTCTTCAACATTAGATATGATTTCGTAATTGAACAACATTTGCTGGATGATCCTGAGCGTATGAAGAATTATAGCAACCCATGTCATAACAGGACCAGGTGTGGAGTGGGTAAAAAAAACATGGAAGGATGGAATCGGGCTCAAACGTGATCGAACCCAACCTCCTCCTCCATCATGTCCCATGCCATCCCCAACATCGAGTTCAGCAGAAACACCCCTGCTTCCTAGCTGCTATCAGTTCCAATGACAAGTAACTGGACTCAAAAATGTTAACTCTGCTTTCTTCCTAAAGATATTTGGCTCAATTCCAGCCTCGGGCAACCGTCAGTGTGGAGTTTGCACATTCTCCCCATGTCTGCATGGGGTTTCCTCCGGGTGCTCTGGTTTCCTCCCACAAAGATGTGCAGGTTAGGTGGATTGGCCATGGGAAATGCAGGGTTGTGGGGACAGGGTGGAGTGTTGTGGGCTCTGGGTAGGATGCTTTTCAAAGGTCGATGTGGTCTTGATGGGCCAAATGGCCTGCTTCTGCACTGTAGGGATTCTATGATATTGCAGAACCCTGCAGTACAGAGGGATCTGGGTGTCCTGGCAGACGAATCACTAAACATTAGTCTAGAGGTACAGCAAGTGATTGGGAAGGCAGGTAGTTCTTTATTGCAAGGGGAATGGAATATAAAAGTAGGGAAGTTTTGCTACAGCTGTAGCAAGCCTTGGTATGCCGTTGAGGGCACTTGACAACCTGCATGCTGAAAGGATGCTTCCCCTTGTGGGAGAGCCTCGGGCAAGGGGACACCATTTAAAAACAAGGGGCTTCCCATTTTAGAGAGAAATGAAGAGAAGTTTAGTCTATGTGGAAATCGCTTCCCTATAAAAGAGTGCAGGTTATTTGTGGGGGGGTGGGGGGAGAGGAACAGGAAAATGGAATTGAGGTTACATTCAGGTCAGCTGTGATCTTATTGAATGGCAGAGCAAGCTCGATAGGCCAGATCACCTAGTCCTGCTCTTAATTCTTCTCTCAAGGTGTCTATTAGGATTCATAGATGTTCAGCCCTCATTTTGCTTTCCGAACAACAACATCAGGGTGCCATACACTACCTTACAAGCAACAAAGAACAGGTGTAGTCACTGTTGTATTGGAGAAGTTAGTGTAGGAATTTTAACTGAGGAAATTCCCACATGCACCAATATTATAATGAACAAATAATCTGTTTTACTTTTGCACAAAGAGTAAATGTTATTTAGGACACTAGACAGAACATTCTTGTGGTTGCCCCCTAAGATGGAGAGTAATGGCCTATTAGTAATGTAACTGGATTGGTTAATCCAGAGACTCAGATAATGGTAATAGAGACCTGGATTCAAATCCTCCTATGGCAGATGGTAGAATTTGAATTCAATATAAACTGGAATTAAGAGTCAAGACGGCCATGAATCTACTGCTGATTGTCTGGAATACTGCATCTGGTTCACTAACACCCTTTAGGGAAGGAACCACAGTCATCCTTACCTGGCCTGGCCTACATGTGACTCCAGACCCACAGCAATGTGGCTGACTCTTAGCCAGCAACGCCCTTGTCCCATGAATGAATAAAAAAAAGCTACAGCTGGCATTTGAGAGGGGAAAGGGGTACAAGCAGTCAGAGTGAGAAAATGATAGCTAATTTGCAATAGGAAACTTTCCCACTATGCTCATAAATATTGTTGTTACTTGGGATGATATATGGCAAGATTTTATACATGTGCCAGGCAATGACCATCTCCAGCAAAGGAGAATCTAACCACCTTCACTTGCTATTCAATAGCATTACTATCACTGAATTCCTCAACATCCTGAATGTTATCATGGACCAGAAACTGAACTGGACTAGTCATCTAAATACTGTGGCTACAAGATCGGGTCAGAGGCAGAGAATTATGCAATATGGAACTTACCTCTGGACTCCGCAGACCCTATTCACCATTTACAAGTCACAAGTCAGGAGTGTGATGGAATATGCCCCACTTGCAGCTCCAACAACACTCAAGAAGCTTGACACCATCCAGGACAAAGCAGCCCACTTGATTGGCACCACAAATATTCACTCCCTCCACCACCGACGCTAAGGAGCAGCAGTGTCTACTGTCTACAAGATGGACTGCAGAAATTCACCAAAGATGCTTAGTACAAGCACGTAGTAGGACAAGGGCAGCAGATACATGGGAACACCATTCCCTGCAAGTTCCCCATCAAATCACTCACCATCCTGACTTGGAAATATATTGCTGTTGCTTCACTGTTGCTCTCCCAGTGACCCCTTTCCTAAGGGCAAGAGTAGTTGGACTTTTAGGCCTGCAGCGATTCAAGAAGGTAGCTCATCACCATCATTTCCAGTACAGTTAGGAATGGGAAATAAATGCTGGCCTAGCCAGTGATGTCCACATCCTGTGAATGAATAAGAAAAAAGTCCAAGGTGACCTGAGAGAAAGGTCTTTCGTGCAAGATTTACCTCAGAATCATATCGCTTATTTTCTGCATTGTTGCTCCTTGATTGTAGGCATATTTTCCCATTTAAATGCTCCCAGCTGGGACATGCTTGGTTACTTCAATTTGAAAAGTTGAAATGTTGTGACTAATGCATCCCATCTGGAATCTTTTATTTCAAACTACTTAATCTCTAAGACAGATTAGCATGCCACAGAAATAAGGCAAAAAAATGTCCTGAATGAAGCAGAGCGATGCAAGGTTAAAATTAAAGGCTTTTATTTCAGAGAAGCACAGATTACTTTCAGCAAAGGCACCAGGTACTTGGCTTACAAGGTATAGCCAACATGACTAGCTTCTCCAATCCCACTTGTTTCCCAAATGCTTCAACAACTCATCATTTTTAAGCAATTGTCTAACTGCCTTGTAAAGGGCAGTTGTGGCTATGTGGTAGTATCCCTACCTCTGAGTGAGACAGCCTGGGTTCAAGTCCCACTTAACCTGGAGGAGAGTCATAATACTCTCATCAGGCCAGTTAAAATTCCGTAAAACCCAATTACATCCTTTTGGCTCGTGTAGCACAGTGGCAGTGCCCCTATCTCTAAGCTAGGAGGCCTGTGTTCTATTTCCACTGCTCCAGAGGTGCATAATAACACCTCTGAACAGGTTGATTTGAACAAATTCCCTTTTTAGGGGAATTTGCAGGCTCTGCTTCAACAATGGTTTGTGGTGGAGAATTCCACATTCTAATCCTGACCTGCCCAAAGAGTGTTTGCAACTTTCCAATTCTTACTGTGACATTCGTGTTGTCTAATTCTGGCTTTGCCAACAGCAATGATTGAATAATAGAATCCCTACAGGTCAGACAAAGGCCATTCAGCCCATCATATCTGCACCGACCCTCTGAAGAGCATCCCACCCAGACCCACTCCCCCACCCTATCTCTGGGACCCCATGCTTACCATGGCTAATCCACCAAGCCTGCACATCCCTGGACACTATGGGCAATTTAGCATGGCCAATCCACCTTAACCTGCACATCCTCGGACTGTGGGAGGAAACCGGAGCACCCGGAGAAAACCCACGCGGACATGGGGAGAATGTGCAAACTCCATACAGTCACTCAAGGCTGGAATCAAACCTGGGTCCCTGGAGCTGAGAAGCAGCAGTGCTAACCACTGAGCCAGCCTTGTTGAGTGACGATTTACCATCGTGGATCCGATGATGACCTCCATTGGCTCATTCTACAGTCTTCCCATTCTCCAGTCAGGACCTACAGGTTCTAAAGTCTCTTTCTTCTCCATTCTACCATGGAATGGAGTGTCACTGGCTAGGCCAGCATTTATTGTGCATCCTGAATTGCACCTGAGAAGGGAGTAGTGAACCTCCATTTTGAACCACTGCTGTGCTTGGGGTGTGTCTTATTCCTACCCTACTCTACTCTGCCTTACTCTACCCTACCCTGCTGTACTATACTCCTATCTATTATTATACTCTACTATACTCTAATGAGGCAACATTCAACCAGAAAGCCTGCATCTGTCTTGTCCCCCACACTTTAGACTCCTAAACTCCTCAACCACACTTCCCTCTTTCAAAATCTACCCCCTTGACTTTGCCTTCTGTTACCTCCTTGGCACCATTACATGTCTATGTGAGGAACTTTACAAACAGTCTTGTAGCAAACTGGATGCTGTTCACTCAGACAAAGGGAAGCATCGGGCAGTTGAAAGCCTTCAAGTTTGCTGTGAATTGTTTCATTATTTTCTTTAAAAGCAGAAAGTCTGATTTCTGCCTGACCCTGTTCCCAGTTTCATCACCAGCCAGTACCCCATCCCCTATCAAAGGTATTGACTTCAGCTCAGGGGAAAATTAGTAGGGACCAGCACCACACACACACACACTTTTGGACTGGGAGGAAACCAGAGCACCTGGAAACGCCCGCGCAGACACGGGGAGAATGTCTGTGTGGAGTGTGCATAGTCACCAGAGGATGGAATCAAACCCAGGTCCCTGGCGCTGTGAGGCAGCAGTGCTAACCACTGTGCCACCGTACCACCTGGGACTCAGACTTCACCTGTGAGATCAGCTACAGAAAATCCCAACTTTGGCTCAAAGTTAAAAAAAATCACATGACACCAGGTTATTAGTCCAACAGGTTTATTTGAAATCGCAAGTTTTCGAAGCGTAGCCCCTTCATCAGGTGAAGTGAGGCAAGAGTGCACAGAACACAGAATTTATAGGCAGAGAGATCAAGGATAGAGAGAGATCGAAAGGTCTTACAAATGGTGTGAGTGGAGTGTCAAATAATCAGTCTCTACAGGTGATCAGAAGTGTCAGACTTTACTCATGCCATCCAATACTTTTAATCCATCCCATCCAACACCGGTATCTCCACATCAGATCAACCTTGGCTCAGTTCAGCAACATTAGTCAAATCCAGGTAGGAATTTCATTGTGAATGGTAGGGCCTTAAGGAGAGTAGTGGAACAGAGGGACCTTGGAGTTCAGGTGCATAGTTCTCTGAAAGTGGAGTCGCAGGTAGACAGGACAGTGAAGACGACTTTTGGCACACTGGCCTTCATCAGTCAGGGCGTTGAGCATAGAAGTTGGGAAGTTATGATGCAGTTGTACGGGACGTTGGTGAGGCTGCACTTGGAGTATTGTGTTCATTTTTGGTCACCTTGCTATAGGAAGGATGTTATTAAACTGGAAAGAGTGCAGAAGAAATTTACAAGAATGTTGCCAAGACTCAAGAGACTGAGTTATAGGGAGAGGTTGGACAAGCTAGGACTTTTTTCTTTCGAGTGTAGGAGACTGAGGGGAAATCTTATAGAAGTGTATAAGATCATGAGAGGCATGGATAGGGTGAATGTAGTCAGTCTTTTTCCCAGGGTTGGGGAATCAAGAACTAGAGGGCATCAGTTTAAGGTAAGAGGGAAAAGAATACATGGGAACTTGAGGGGCAACTTTTTTACACAAAGGGTGGTACATATATGGAATGAACTGCCAGCGGAAGTAATTGAGATGGGTACATTAACAACATTAAAAAGGCAGTTGGATATAATGAATATTCAAATACATAGATAGGAAAGTTTAGAAGGATATGGGACAAGTGCGGGAAAATGGGCTTCACGTGGGTGGACATTTTGGTCGGCAAAGACCAGTTTGGGCCAAAGCAGCTGTCTCCGTGCTGTAGGACTATGACTCAAAAAACACTCGTCACCTCAGCAATGACAGGTTCAAGCCCCACTGCAAGAAATGAAAGATTCCTTTGGCACAGACGATAAGGAGCTTGCCTAACATTTCCCCGTGGGCCAACTCTGCTAAATACAGACAAGCTGGTTGTTTGTCACATTGCTGTTTGTGGAACCTTGCTGCATAAAAATTGGCTGTTTACACAGCATCTTCCCAACCCATGATCACTACCATTGAGAAGGACAAGAGCAACAAATCCATGGGAGCACCACTAAGTTCTCCTTCAGGCCACGCACCATCCTGACTTTGGAGCTATGTCTCTGTTTCTTCACACTGTCGGTGGGTCAAAAACCTGAAACTCACTTCTTGACATCATTGTGAATTATCCATACCCCAAGGATAGCAGAGGTTCAAAATGGAGGCTCACTACTCCCTTCTGGAAGCACGGTGGCTCAGTGGTTAGCACTGCTGCCTCATGGTGCCAGGGACCTGGGTTTGATTCCACCCTCGGGTAACTGTGTGAAGTTTGCGCGTTCTCCCAGTGTCTGCACTGGTTTCCTCCCACTGTCCACAGAGGTGCAGGCTAGGTGGATTAGTCATGGGAAATGCAGGATACAGGGATGGGTCCGGGTGGGATGCTTTTCAGAGGGTCAGAGTGGATACAATGGGCCGAATGCCTGCTCCTACCCTGTAGGGAATCTGATTCTCTGGTGCTTTGAGGGATGCACAATAAATGCTGGCCTAGCCAACAACATGATAGAATGGAGAAGAAAGAGACTTTAGAACCTGTAGTTCCTGTCAGGAGAGTGTGAGGACTGTAGAATGAGCTGATGGAGGTCAACGTCAGATCCATGATGGTAAATCATCAAAGCAATCATTTCTGTTGAAATGACAATGAGAGGACACTAATTTAAGAAAGTCACAATAAGAATTGGAAAGTTACAAACACTTGTGCAGGTCAGGATTAGAACGTGGAAATCTCTGCCACAAAACCACTGTTGAAGAGCCTCCAAATTCTCCTAAAAAGGAGTTTGATATATTTTCAAATTAACCTGTTTAAAGATGTTATTAGACACTGCAGGGCAAGGCAAGGGCAATAGGAGTACGTTGGTATAGTGGTAAAATCACTGGCCTAGTAATCCCGATAGTCCTAATATCTGGGCACACACGTTCAAAACCCACCACAGCGGCTGATGAAATTTTAAATTGAGTTAATTATCCTGGAACTATATGGCTAGTGTCATTAATGGTGACCAAGACAACTATCATCAATGATTGTAAAACCCCATCTGGCTCAGATCCTTTAAGGAAAGAACATCTGTCATTCTTACCTGGTCTGGCCTATGTGTAACTCCAGCAATGTGGTTGACCCTCAAGCTTCCTTTCTAGTAGGCCTGACAAGCCATCTTTTAAAGAGAATTTGGGAATGAGCAACAAATGCTGGGGGACACTCGCATCCCATGGAAGAACTTTTTTATTATTCACTCGCAGGATGAGGGCATCGTTGGCTAAGCAGCATTTATTGCCCAGAGGGCAGTTAAGAGTCAACCACATTGTTGTGGGTCTGGAATCACATGTAGGGCCAGACCAGGTAAGGATGGCAGTTTCCTTCCCCAAAGGGCATTAGAATAGAATAGAATAGAATCCCTACAGTGTGGAAACAGGCCCTTTGGCCCAACAAGTCCACACCAAACCTTAGTGCATTCCACCCAGACCCATCCCCCTATAACCCATCTAAACTACACATCCCTGAACACTATGGGAAATTTAGCATGGCCAATCCACCTAACCTGCACATCTTTGGTCTGTGGGAAGAAACCGGAGCACCCAGAGGAAACCCACGCAGACACAGGGAAAATGTGCAAACTCCACACAGACAGACACCCAAGGCTAGAATCGAACCTGGGTCCCTGGTGCTGTGAGGCAGCAGTGCTAACCACTGTGCCAGATTGGGGTGGTCAGGGTGATAACTGGGAACAGAAAACAAAGTCACTCCGTCCTATTTGAAGAGGCTGACAACCACATTTCCCTCGAACAGAAAGCCTCAGAATCTCTTCCAATGAGGGTACCAAATAGTGTCAGCAGTATTGCTGGGGTTTATCACCGGGGATCCAATCTACTTGTCCAGAAAATTGCTTTCAGGGTTATTTGCTGATCAAGTCTGTGAACCAGATGGGTTTTTCCCAACAATCAACAATGGATTTACAGTCATCATTAGACTGTTAGGTCCAGATATTTAGTGAATTCAAAGTTTTCTCCATCTGCTGTGGCGGGATTCGAACATAGGTCCCCAGAACATTACCCAGGTTAACAGTCCAGTGATAATACCAGTAGGCAAACAGATCCTCTTTCATAAACCCCAAGAATAAAAGGAGGGGGTCAGGAAGCAGCCTGAAGTCATTTTGGGGTTTACAGAGGTTGCAAATGTCAGAGCATCAAGGTCATACAGCAGTTTGTTGTGAGGATATGGTAGAGGATGTGTTGACTGAATGGCTCTAATGATAACAGGGATGAGGAAAAAGAAGTTGGTTTGGGTGAAAACCTAATAAAAACCGAAAGAATAGTGGATGCTGTAAATCAGGATCAAAAACAAAAGCTGCTGGATGCCTAGAGGAGTCACTGGACCCAAAACGTTAACTCTGATTTTTTTCTTCACAGCTGCTGCCAGATCTGCTGAGCTTTTCCAGCAATTTGTGTTTTTGTTTTTGGTTTGGGTGAATCTTGACTTTCTATCAATCGGGGATAAAGACATGCTTTCTCATTGGTGACAGGAGGTAGGGCACCATGAAGATGGACCTCGACAGCAGGAGCGTGGCGGGGGGAACAGACCCAGAGATATTGTTGCTGGGCAGTTTGAGGATGAGAATCAGAGAATAAACACTTCAGGGATCACTAAGCACTCAGAATTGGCAACATGGTTGTCTCGCTCCCCCCCCGCCATGACCACTGCAGATGTTTAAGAAATGTTGGTTTGAAAACTTATACAAGCACTGTTCTTCCACCAAAGGAAAAGGATGAGGAGACAGAGAGCCCAGCTGTCTGCAAGAGTGAAATCCGCCCTGGGAAGTTAAAACTCAGCTTCGAAGAAATAGAAAGGCGAAGACAGGATGAGGAAAAGAGGAAAGTTGAGGAGGAAGCAAGACGGCGTATTGAGGAAGAAAAGGCAGCCTTTGCTGAAGCACGCAAGGTTGGAACTTAACATTGTGCCTTTCACCTGCTGTTCACTCACTGTACAATGTCATCTTAGGCTTGTGATTTAAGTTAAAACACCAAGCACCTGCCCAATATCTTCAAAATAAATACAGAAAGTGCTAGAGAAATTCAGCAGGTCTGGCAGCATCTGTGGAGAGAGAAACAGAGTCAGTGTTTTGCATCCGGTATGACTCTTCTTCAGACCTGCTGGGTTTCTCCAGTATTCACTGTATTTGGTTCAGATTTTCAGCATCTGCAGTATTTTGCTTTCACTCTCCATTATTAGTCCAGTGACATTGCCATAACATCTTAACTTATCACGTACGTATCCCACTCTTTACAAATAGCCCTCCAAATCTTTTTGCTTTATTTATTTATACGGATCTTGTGCGCATGTATAATAGCTTTATCTGCCTGTCCTACAACTTCCAAAAGTCACTGCAAATTTAGTAATAAGAACTTAGTGACACACATTTGAAAATCTGTCAGGCAAAGAACTAAGGACAGTCAAAATGTGGCTGGAAACTAAAGAGGGGCAGGGAATAATTTGGGTGCTGCAAGAATGGCTGAAAGGCTCAATTCGTTTCCTCTTCTTTGCTTTTTCTAATGCTGTAATTTATCAGCTTTGTTGATCTCAGTCTTTAGCGGAAGATGAGGAAGATCTACCCAGTCTCAGCATGGCTCAGAAAGACCCAGTGCGACCCGGGAAACTGAAGCTGAGCTTCGAAGAGCTGGAGAGGCAGCGCCAGGAGGAGGAACAGCGCAGAGCAGAGGAAGATGCTCGCAAGCGCCTGGAGGAAGAGAGGAAACAATTTGCCGAAGCTCGGAGAAACATGGTAAGTACCATTTCCCGAAAAGTACTCACTGATGGTGGTAAAGCAAAAAAAAAACCCACCTACCTGCCAAAACATCAATGGCAAGCTGCCTCACCTTTGCAGCAGACAATTTCTGGAAGTTTGTTCGATTGTTTAAACAGAGTTAGGCCAAGCAATTTGGGAAAACCACCCCACCCCCGTTCATCCCAGTGATTCGAACCATCCGTATTGTGTCACTGGATGGTTACCAAGCAGGTTCCATCTGTCTTGCTTCTCTTCCCAGAGCCCAAATGATCAATACTTCTGGCAACAAAGCAGGGAAATCTTTCTCTATTCAATGCAACATCCGTCAGGTGTTTGTTGGAACATTCTCTGTGTTGAAGTGTAGCTCCAACATGCTTAACACCATCCAACATTCACTCTGTTTACCATTGATGCAGAGTGGCAGCAATGTGTACCAACGACAAGACACACTGCAGCAACTCACAAAAGCTCCTTTGATAGCACCTTCCAAACCCACCTGGAAAAACAAAGACAGCACGTGAATGGGAACACCAACCCCTGCAAGTTCCCCTCCAAGCCACTCACCATCCTGACTTGGAAATATATCACCATTTCTCCAGTGTCGGTGAGTCAAAATCCTGAAACTCCCTCCCCAACAGTACTGTGGGGGTACCTAAACCAAATGGATGGCAGCAGTTTAAGGCGGCATCTCACCACCACCTCCTAAAGGGCAACTTACAGGGAGTAATGGCCTGGTGGTATTATTGCTCGACTATTAATCCAGAAACTCAGCTAATGTTCTGGGGACCTGAGTTCAAATTACTATCATAGCAGATGGTGGAATTTGAATTCATTAAAGAATCTGGAATTAAGAGTCTAATGATGACCATGAATCCATTGTCAATTGTCAGAAAAACCTATGTGGTTCACTAATGTCCTTCAGGGAAGGAAACTGCCATCCTCACCTGGTCTGGCCTACATGTGACTCCAGACCCACAGCAATGTGGTTGACTTTTAACTGCCCTCTGGGCAATTAGGGATGAGCAATAAATGCTGACCCAACCAGCAACTCACTTATCCTGTGAGTGAATATAAAAAAAAAATCAGCCACAATCTCATTGAAATGTGGAGAGGACTCGAAGGGCCGAATGGCCTACTCCAGCTCACATTTCTTATGTTCACATGTAAGCTGGGCCACACTTGAACTATGGTCTAGAACAAAAGCAGCTAATGGGCATCATTGTGTGAATTAAAACAGTGAACAGCATGGGTAAAATAAAAGAGATAACAAGGTGTACAGCTGGATGAACACAGCAGGCCAAGCAGCATCATAGGAGCAGGAAAGCTGACGTTTCGGGCCTAGACCTACTATCTCTGGGTAAAATAAAACTAGGTTATATCAATCTAGAACCACAGGTTAAGGCATTTAAATGATTAACTTAGTGTAAGAGAAACAATAAGAAATTCCTTTGTCATAGAGTTTTGCAGACCCATAAAATCAATCAGCTGAATCCCAGTTGTGAAACACAGCAGTTCCCCTGTGTGATCGATGGGAAATTACCCAATTATCTCCATTCTTTGGGACTTGTGGTCAACCTATTGGCAACCTCTATATGAGCATCTCTACCACATGGGGGCAGTGAAAATGCAGACACAGCTCCGTGCTGTAATTTCGAGGTCACAAGACATTGGGACGCTCATGAGTTATGCTTCCTCCAATTCTCCCCTGTCTATATGCAACAGACACAATGGGCCTTTTGGAATGTCTTCTCTCTTGTTTCGCTCCAGAAAGCACTGAGGAAGGTGAACATTCAAATTTGGAAGGAAAAGATAAATGGGTGGCGTCCAAGGTAGTCAGCTAGTCCATGGCCACCTGTTTTGGATAGAAAATAGAATAGGGAGGGGCCCTTCGGCCCACCATGCCTGTGCCAGATGCCATTCTAAACTCATCCCATCTGCCTGCATATGGTCCATATCCCTCTTCTTTGCCTGCTCATGTGCCTGTCTAAATGCCTCTTAAATGTTGCTACCATTTCTGCTTCTACCACCTCTCCTGACAGTGCATTCCAGGCACTTACTACCCTCCATGTAAAAAACTTCCCTTGCCTACCTCCTTTAAACTTTCCCTCTCTCATCTTAAACAAGTGCCCCCTGGTAATTGACATTTCCAATTCTCTCCACCTCTCATAATTTTATATACTTCTATCAGGTCACTCCTCAGCCTCCGATGCTCCAGCGAATATAATCCCAGTTTATCCAATGTCTCTTTACAGCTAATATACCCCAATCCAGGCAACATCCTGGTAAATCTCTTCTTGTGCTATGACTGAAGACCAAAATCATCCCTACTAATCACTTGTGGAGTATTTTAAGTTGTGGCATGCCCTGACCCACAGATAGCAGCAAAGACAATGGACTTAACATTGTTGAACAGAATATTTTTATCATCTGCCACCAATGACAACAGACTCGTTTTAAGCACTACAAAAAAATTGATTTACAAGGAATACAAGCAGAACGCTTTCCAAGGCAAATTATCATATTAATCAGCTGTGCTGAGATGGAGGTCTGGGCTAATGAGCTATCAAAATCTAAGTACCATGGAATGTTTACATGGTATTAAAAAAACCAGAATTTCAAATGAATCAACTCTCAGTAAGGGATATAAAACTTAGGGTGATGATGGGAAAGAACAAGCGAGAGTAAGAATAATTCATGAGGGAAACTCTGACTTCAATGAGTTAAGAATAGATCTAGGGCAGATGAATTGGAATTGAAAGTAGACAGGAAAACTGCAATTGAGCAACGGGCTGCCTTGCATGAGGAGTAGTTTGGCACGGTTAAGGAATATTCCCACAAACAGGAAAACTTAGGCAAACAGATCCACAGCTCCATGGAGATCAAATGAAAAAAAATGAAGAAGAAGAAGAAAAAAGTGCGTTTATGACAGATGCCAGGAAGATAATACAAGTGTGAACCAGACTGAATAGAAAAGGTTCAGAGGATATTGGAAGAGGTAAATAAGGGAAGCAAAGAGACAGTACGAGAGGAGACTGGCAGCTAACATAAAAGCGAATCCAAAAGTCTTCTATGGGGATATAAATAGTCAAAGTAGTAGTAGTAGATCTGATTGGGAACCAAAACTGTGGATTTCTGCATTGAGGCAAGGATTGTAGCTGAGATATCCAATAAATACGTTGCATCCAATTTTACCAGGGAAGAAAATTCTCCCTAGGTCTTGATGAAAGAGGGGGCAGTTCAGACATTTGAAGGGTATAAAATTGAAATGGAAGTAATGGATGGACTGTCCATACTTAAAGTTGATAAGGCATTGGGCACGGTTAAGAATACTGAAGGATGTGAGTGTGGACATTGTGAAAGCATTGGCCATAGTTTTCTAGCCTTCCTTCGACTCCGAGGTGGTTCCTGAGGATTGGAGATATGCAAAACTTACAAAATGGATTTAAAGGTATGCCCACCGACTACAGTCAAGTGTTGGGGAAGTTTAAAAAAATGATTACTAGGATAAAATTAATGGTTGCTTGGGCAAATGTTTAATTAAGAAAAGCCGGTGTAGCCTTGTTACGGGAAAATCATGTTTAACTAACTTAGATTCATAGAGATATACAGCATGGAAACAAACCCTTTGGTCCAACTCGTCTATGCTGACCAGATATCCTAAACAAATCCATTCCCATTTGCCAGCAATTGGCCCATATCCCTCTAAACCCTTCCTATTCATATACCCCATCCAGATGCCTTTTAAATATTGTAATCCCTCCACCCCTTCTTCTGGCAGCTCATTACGCACCACCCTCTGGGTGAAAAAGTTGCCCATTAGGTCCCTTTCATATCTTTCCTTTCTCACCTTAAAAGTATGCCCTCTAGTTTCGGACTCCCCCATCCGTGGAAAAGACCTTGTCTATTTAATTTATCCATGTCCTCCATGATTTTATAAGCCTCTATAAGGTCACCCCTCAGCTCCCGACACGCCAGGGAACATAGCACCGGCCTATTCAACCTCTGCCTATAGCTGAAACTCTCCAATCCTGGCAGCATCCTTGTACACATTTTCTGAACCCTTTCAAGTTTCACAACATCCTTCCTATGGAAGGGAGACCAGAATTGGACACAGTATTCCAAAAGTGACCTAATCAATGTCCTGTAGAACCACACCATAACCTCCCAACTCCTATACTCAATACACTGACCAATAAAGACAAGCATACCAAATGGTTTCTTCACTATCCTGTCTACCTGTGACTCGACTTTCAAAAATCTACGAACCTGCACCCCAAGGTCTCTTTGTTCAGCACCACTCCCCAGGACCTTGCTGTTATGTGTGTAAGTCCTGGCCTGATTTCTCCTTCCGAAATCCAACATTTCACATTTATCTAAATTAAACTCCATCTGCCACTCCTTGGTCCATTGGCCCATCTGATCAAGATACCATTGTACTCTGAGGTAACCTTCCTCACTGTCCGCTACACCTCCAATTTTGATGTCTTCTGAAAACTTGCTAACAATACCTCCTATGCTCAAATCCAAATAGTTTATATAAATGATGAAAAGCAGTGGATCCAGCATCGATCCTTCTGGCACACCACCGGTCACAGGCCTCCAGTCTGAAAAGCAACCCTCCACCACCACACTTTCTCTTCTACCTTTGAGCCAGTTCTGTATCCAAATGGCTTGTTCTCCCTGTATTCCATGTGATCTAACCTTGCTAATCAGGCTACCATGAGGAACCTTGTGGAACGCCTTACTGAAGTCCATATGGATCCTGTCCACCGCTCTGCCCTCATCAGTCCTCTTTGTTACTTCTTCAAAAAGCTAATTTGCTGGAATATTTTAGAGGTAACAGAGAGGGTTGATGAGTGCAATGCTATTGATGTAGTGTACAAGGATTTGTACACTAATGTCCTTACCTTGTCTGGCTTCCACGTGACTCCAGACCCACAGCAATGTGGCTGACTTTGAACTGCTCTCTGGGCAATTAGGGATGGGCAATAAATCCTGCCTAGCCAGCGACACCTTCATCCCATGAATGAATTTAAAAAAAAAAAAACTTGGTACGGTGTCAAACAACGGACTTTGGTGCATATTTAGAGATTACAGAATAAAAGGGTTAGAAGCAGCATGGATACAAAATTGGATGAATAATAGGAAATTGTGAAGAACAGTTGTTTTCCGACTTATAATGGGATCCCCAGCGAATGATTTTAAGACCCCTGTTCTTCCTAATGTTCCTCAATGATGTAGACTTCGGTGTATAGGCTGAATTTCAAAATTTACAGACTACATGAAGCCCAGATGTGTTGTGAATGAACAGCAGGATAATTTTGAACTTCAAAAGGACACAGATAAGTTGATGAAATGGGTGGAGAAGTGGCAGATGAAATTTAATATAAATAACTGTGAAGTGATTAGTTTTGGGACAAAGAACAGATACAATGTAAAATGAAGGGTACAATTAGAAAGGGGAGCAGGAACAGAGGGACCTGGATGTACATGTGCATAAGTCCCTCATAAAAATCATAAAAACAGGACAGGTTGATAAAGATGTAAAGTTACAGAAGAGTGGTGAATGGTGGATACAAGCAAGATAGAACTGAGTTACAATGCTGCTAGTACAGTTGAGATACATAAACACAGACAGTAAATACCTACATTGCATCTTGGGGCTTTGTCAATAGGGGCACAGATTATAAAAGCAAGGACATTTTAAACACTGGATGAGCCTCAACTGTAATATTGTGTCCAGTTCTGGTCACGACAATTTAAAGATGTGAAGGTATTAGAGAAGCTGCATCATAGCTTTACGAGAATGTTTTCAGGGATGACGAACCTCAATTATGATGATAGATTGAAAATGTTCCAGCAGTAGATTGAAACTATTCAGATGGATTTAGGAAGATCTTCATATGAAGCACAGTACAAATGGGAAGCTCTGTTCTGAATACTATTGAGGCTGGGATCAATTGAGTGTTTCACAACTGAGATAGCTGGTAATAATATTGTGAGTTAGGCAATGCAGGATGGAAGTTAAACCAAGTTAAGATACAGGTCAGTCATAAACTAATTGAACAGTGGAACTGGCTGGTGAGGTTAAGTTGAACAATTGGGTGGATAAAATGAAAAGGTAACATTCTTAATCAAACTGTCACCTTGTGTACTGTTGTCAGAGCATTACAGGAATGGTATTTGTCAAGCGAGATGTCTTCACATTTATAGTTAGTGAAGTCACTGGAACACTTGACTATTTTTTATAATTGCACAATATAACACCTTTGACATTAGTGGTTCCATTTATTGAAGTGATATTTATGGTTGTTGAAAGTTATCCAATCTCCTAATTATTTTTTAAGAGTCCTGACCAGGATAGCAATCAGAAGGATCATGCAAGTTCACACAAGGAGGATTATGGACCTGATGAAGTAAGGCATAATTCATTAAAAAGTATAAATACTGTGTAAGAAAGAATGTTAATGTCAACCAGCACCTCCTCTTAGCTTATCACACTTGCATCTAAGGCTCTTTCAGTGTGGTTCATACATCACCAAACTTTAAGTTTACCATGTATGTTGATTATGAATTGGGAACGATGAGAGTCAAGGAGAGACAAGATCCCAAAGGCAAACTGTTGAGGGTGTTAAGTGGGCAAACACTGGCTTTACGAATTATTCAGAAACAATGTCCTGGGAAAGATGACTACTCCATCAACCCTGCACCATATCCAAGATGCCTAGAGCATAGTGACCAGATACATCCAACCCCAAACACCTCCTGCCATTTAATCACTGGGGAAAGATAAGAAAAACATTAAAACTTCTGGCCAGTAAGAGATAAAATATATTGGGAAATTCCTCTTCAGTACACACTTCAAATCACATTGACCATTTGTTAATTTTTAATTTTTGTTTAGAAAAAAAAAGAGGAATTTTGTCATTGTACAGTTACAGAAGAGTGGTGTATGGTGGATACAACCAAGATAGAACTGAGTTACAATGCTGCTAGCACAGTTGAGATACATAAACATAGACAGTAAATACCTACATAGGCTGTCCTCGTGGCTATGGAACCAAATATGAGTGAGGGGTAATATTTCTCTGCAAAATGGACCTCCAACATTGTATGGTGAACGCTTAACATAATTTGACTTGATGTATAATTTAGATAAATGTGAAGTGTTGCACTTTGGCAAAGTAAACCAGGGCAGGACTTACACAGTTAATAGTGGGGCACTGGAGAGCGTTGCTGAACCTCGGGTGCAGGTATATTGTTCCTTGAAAAGGGAGTCACAGGTAGACAGGGTGGTGAAGGCGGCGTTTGGCATGCTTGCCCTCATTGGTCATTTGAGTGTAGGAACTGGGATGTCATGTTGTGGCTGTACAGGATATAAGTGAGGCCACTTTTAGAATACTGCATACAATTCTGGTTGCCCTTCTGTAGGAAAGATGTTGTTAAACTTGAAAGGGTGTGGAAAAGATTTACAAGAATGTTGCTGGGACTGGAGAGTTTGAGCTATAGAGAGAGGCTGAGACTATTTTCCCTGGAGCGTCGGAAGCTGGGGGATGACTTTATAGAGGTTTTTAAAATCATGAGGCGCATGTATGGGGTGAATAGTCATGGTATTTTCCCTGGAGTAGGGGAGTCTAAAACTAGAGGGCATAGGTTTAAGGTGGGAGGGGAAAGATTTAAAAGGGACCCAAGGGGCAACCTTTTCAAACAGAGGGTGGTGTGTGTATGGAATGAGCTGCCAGTGGAAGTGGTGGAGGCTGGTACAATTACAACAGTTAAAAAACATCTGGATGGGTATATGAATAAGAAGGGTTGAGAGGGATATGGGCCAAATGCTGGCAAATGGGACTAGATTGGGATGGCTGGTTGGTGCAAAAGAATTGTTTCTGTGCTATATTATTCTGTGACTCTACTCCAATGACTTGACCACTTATCCTCACTAGATGCCAAACAATAGGTTGCCTTTGGGTGAACAGGGAAGTGTTTTCTGTTCTGGTTAATGTATATTACAACTTCTAATGGAGGATAAAGCTTGTCTTGTCCAATCCCCACCCCCCAACCCCACACCCTTCCCCCAAAACAGGTATCTGATGAAGAACCAAACGATGCCAAAAGAATGTCTTTGGATGTGAATGATATGCACTGTCCAGGCAAATTGGAAATCAACTTTGAAGAGCTTTTGAAACAAAAGATGGAGGAAGAGAAAAGGCGGACGGAGGAGGAGCGAAGACAGAAACTAGAACAGGAGAAACAAGAATTTGAACAACAGCGACAAGAAATGGGAGAGGTGGGTACAGCAATCCTTGCAGTCAGGTTTATTTTCCATGAAGGTTGGAGCGCTTCTAGCTTCAGCTGTTAACTCATTTGTTAACCCGCTGAGGCAGAAGGTTCTGTATCCAGGTCCAATCCCATAAACCTGAGCACAAAGTCTTGTGCTGACGGGGAGGGGCACTGTTGGATGTGCAACCTTTCTGATGTTAAACCAAGGTGGTTTTCTGCCCTCTTGTGGACATGATGAATATTGTGCTCTCATTTGAGGGGATGATACTGTTTGCAACTCTAGTAATCCAGAGTCCTGGACAGATCTCTCAGAGAACATGAGTTCAAATCCACACTAGAAGTTAGAGAATTTGAATTCAGTTTTTCTTTTTTGAAACCTGGGCATAAGAAGCTGGTATCAGATTATACAGACAATCCCTGGGTAACAAGTGGGTTCTGTTCTTCAGTCTGAGATAGTAGGAACTGCAGATGCTGGAGAATCCGAGACAACAAGGTGCAGGGCTGGACGAACACAGCAGGCCAAGCAGCATCATAGGAGCAGAGAGGCTGACGTTTCGGGCCTAGACCCTTCATCAGAAAAGGGGGAGGGGAAGGGGGTTCTGAAATAAATAGGGAGAGAGTGGGAAGCGGATAGAAGAGGGATAGAGGATTACGAGAGAGTTGCAGTGGGAGA